AAACAAGATTATACTGTAGAGCACAGGGAAATATATACAAGATCTTGTGGTAGCTCACAGCGAAAAAAACGTGACAATGAATATATGTATGTTCATGTATAACTGAAAAATTGACACTGGAAATTGACACAACATTGTAAACTGACTATAACTCAGTAAAAAAATGTTTAAAAAAAATGAAGATTACTTCACTTAGAATGACATTCTCTAGGAGCATCCATGTTGCTGTAAATGGCATTATATTGTCAGTTTTTATGGCTGAGTAGTATTCCATTGTATAAATATACCACATCTTCTTTATCCAGTCACCTGTTGATGGACATTTAGGCTGTTTCCATGTTTTGGCTATTGTAAATAGTGCTGCTATGAACATTGGGGTGCAGGTGTCATCCTGAAGTAGATTTCCTTCTGGATACAAGCCCAGGAGTGGGATTCCTGGGTCATACGGTAAGTCTATTCCTAGTCTTTTGACACTGGAATTTGACACAACATTGTAAAATGATTATAAATCAATAAAAAATGTTAAAAAAAAAGGTTATATTTTTAATCACTTCCCATACCAAGTAGCTGCCATTTGGGTACAGAGTATGGGTATTAAACAGGCTTCCCTCGGAGACAATTAAAAGAACACTGGGCTAAACACGGGAAAACCTGAAACTTTCAATTGATTCTTGGCTCCATTTTCCTACCCTGACAACGACATGAGCGTGCAGGATGTGACATGAGGAAGATGGGGTGAGGTAAGCTTTGGGCTCCCTTGAAAGACACCATATCCATCCTTTTCTCAGTAAGAACACTGCCTCCTACCTCAAAATCCATAGGATGAAACATATTTTTGATGATGACAACTCGCTCGTGGCGCATTCGGGACGGGCCAGCTCTCCTCTCAGGTCTCCAATCCAACTGCCTAATGTCACAAAGCAGGAATAAGAAGCTGTGAATTTTGTTTTCGACTTGTTGGAGAGAGAGAAAAATGAGCTGTTAATACGATCCTTTATCGAGTATTTTTAAAAATTTTGTCTTTTTATTTATTTATTTGCTGTTGGGGGGAGGTAATTAGACTTATTTATTTATTTTTTAGTGGAGGTACTGGGGATTGAACTCAGGGCCTCATGCATGCTAAGCACACACTCTACCACTGAGCTATACCCCCATGCCCCTTATTGAGAATTTTTTGAGTATTTGATTCCGAAACAATAATGTGTAGTTTAGTCACAGTTCCATTAGAACTTTCTGAAATAAAAATAGTGTGCAGGTGAAAAATGGATCTGAAATCCCCAGAATATATATTTTTTCAGAACTGCTATCTGGTTACAAACATTCCAATGAGACTCCAGAAAAATTGCTAATTATTTAGTACCTATGACTATCTAGGAAAATATACTTTGAGGCCAAGAAAATGTTCAAATTGTATTGGTTTTTGGGTGTTTTATGATTATAAAAAAAACTGCATCGAAATTTGTAAAACTACTCACTCTGTTACAATCTTAAATTTTACTGATTTCGTTTATAAAATTTTCAGGTATCTATTTTAACTGTTTCTCTAAAAACTACAGGCATCACAACTAAATGCTTTCATGATCATTTTATCGTTAGTTCAAGCACACTGTTAGGAGTGCTATTAGAATTCTCTCTGATAAAGGTACTTATCACTTCGGCTACTTCCTTAAAAGCAACATATTTCAAAAAATATATTAAATAAACGGATTAACAGAAACACGGTGACATCATGTATATACTATACACAACCACAAGTACATGATAAAGTGATAAAACCTGTTGTTTCTCATTTCTAACTCCTACTAACAAACCTGTAGGAAAAAATTTAGCTCCTGGTGTAGCTTATTCAAATCCACATGAAGAATGAACTAACAGCTCTGGAATATAAACCTAAACCATCTTACTTAGTCTCATGTTCAACATTTTCCATAGAGATGGCTTTCTTATTTCATTTAAGCCCCCATTATATTAAAAATAAACATCCCAGAAAATGAACATATTGCCACTGCCAAATTATCCAGACTATTGCCTATTATACAGGTTACTGAAGGTTTCTGACCATCTAATGAAATTATTTAAAAATATTTTGTAGGCATATTTGGAACAAAACTAGGTGGTTATTACCAAAAATACACTCTAGGATTTTTACGTGAAATCTTTCAAAAAGAAAACAACACACACTTTTGTTGCATAGACAGCTTTTTCTTGTAGTCTTTGCACTTCTTCTTCTTTTTCGAGGCGTCATATTCCCCCTTCAGTTGAAACTTGGCCACCTCTACATGTAATTTGTAGCCTCTAATTTCATCTTCATCCAAAAGTTTTAATGCGAGATCCACAGATTCCCTCTTTATAAAGGGAAAACAAGATACAGTCAGTCAGTAAGTTACACACCGAATTAAAACTCGCAAGTTCTTTAGATGAATGATGACTATACAGAAAATAAAGATTTAAATATAACCACCTACACTAGGATAAAGAACTCTAGAATGCGTATCAGGAGACCTGAATTTAAGACACAGCTGTCCCCAACCAGTTATGTGAACTTAGGCAAGTTTATTCAAGATCATTGAGCCCCAAATTCTTAATCTGTAAAATGGGAATGGATATGTCATCTTTGCAGAGTTCTTGACAAAATTAAATAAGACACATAAAGGGTAGTGACTGGCATACAGCAGGTGTTCAAAGTTATACCATCATTGGAATAGTAGTTTTCTTCTTGGGGTCTCTAAGTTCTCATCTATACAATGAGGCAAATGGACTTGCATGATTTTTAAGGTGCATTTCAGTTTTAAAATTCTAAAAGATTCCTACGTAAAAAACTAGATGACTCAAGGAACTGGGAATAGCATAGCTAGTCTTCAATTTTTTTGTTCACCAATTAAAATGTAGGTCTGTGATATACTGAGAAGAAGATGATTATCTGACAGCTTGAACACCAAACACATTTGTAGATTCTGGGTCCTGAACAGAGGGGACAACTGTCAGCTCTACAGATTCAAAGATCTGAAAATCTGAGGAGAACTCAAAAGAACTGAACTCAGCCATGCAATCAAATATGGATCCTGGAACAATTAACTATATTCTTCCGGAACTCCATTTACTGGGTTGCCAATCTTGCATTTTTATGGGTCATAAATTTTACATATCAAGTTTGTCAAAACCCCATTTTCTTCTTTAAAAATTTTAAAATCAAATCAAATCCCCCAAGAATCTGTTCACAGACTGTTAGTAATCCTTGAAGAACTTATAAAACTCTCAATCTCCCTGCATTTGAAAATTACATAAATACCTTCCTATAATGGGCATACTTATGTATGACCCCACTGTGTTCAAGAACAGGTCAAAAACCTCTCTCCCTCAAAGCTGCCAGCTTAGTCCTACTCTCTTCTGATTTCACTGAAGTGTTGTATGCTCGCAACACACTCACGATGCTGGTACTGTTGTTTTATCACTTTGACTTTACTTTGTAATTATTTTCAGGGTCCATGACACATGTACATGCCATCATTAGGTCCGCTTCTCTTGTACCCTGCAATAATGCATAACACATGCTCCTAAGGAGACAAGTGTTCCAAAAAGGATGGCTGCCTTTGACAATGAACTTTCCCCATGCAATTTATTCCCCATGTAATTTATGGTACCATGAACACATAAAGTTCTGCAGATTTCTGTTAACACTACTCTCTCTTCTCTCCTATTCAAAATATATTTCAAAGCAGTAAGCATAAGCTATCACCTTCTTTATGGTCTAATTCAGAGGTCAGAAAACTTCTTTTGTAAAGGGCCAGTGAATAAACATTTTAGGCTGTGTCGGCCATGTGGTCTGTGTTGCAACCACTCAACTCTGCTGTTAAAACATGAAAGGAGGTATAGACAAATGCGTAAATGAATTAATGTGGCCGTGTTACAATAAAACTTTATTCATAAAGGCAGCCAGTGGGCTGAGTTTGCCAAACCCTGATCTAAATCATTCCAACAGGCAAATAAAATGTTACCGACTTTCTCTTCTTTGTGGATTTTTAAAATGTGTTTTGCACTGACTATGTGCATATACTCCTAAAGAGATCTTTGCGGCAAGGATTCTTTTAAGACAAAAGCAGCACTTTGGACCTAAGACTTACAAAACACCTTGACCTCAAAACATATTTTCTTAGAAGAGCAAGTGAATGTGATACACACAGGTACGATCTGAAATTTCCATTTTCTTCACATCCTGCTTTGAATAGCTCTCACTTCCGGTTACCTTCTATACAAAATTATAGCCCTGGTTCCTGAGTTAAAAATGGAGATAGGAGAAACTTATTTGACCACATAACTGACCTTCAAATAACAGCAAAGCCCATCTCCTTTAAGATTTCCTTGATTATCTTTGTAAAGCTTGACCTTAAATTCTTCTGTTTGAGGATCTCTCATTATAATGCCAAACTTGGACATGAGCTGTATAAATTCATCCACTGTAATGTCTGGAGGCAAACCTGTGACATTAAGAAAAATTTCAAAAAGTTATAAAGACATCTACAATAAAGGTGAGGGCTACTTAAGAATTCAACCAATTAGAATTCTGTAACTTAGATGAGTGCAATTTTGATTTTCTAAAAGTATGTAAAAATCTCACATTTATAGACTTGAAGAAATTTCATGTTTTAATGTATTCAAAAATACATTAAAATCATGCTTTGCTTAGGCCTTGTATCAATGAATCTGAAGAGGCAAACTGCTATGAGTTACCTAAAGCAGACAGAAATGATGGCATGCAGTTACACACACTTAAGTTTTCCTAGTTTTGTAAAAAACATATTCTT